CAAAGAATCGGAGGACTAGGGAAGAGGAAGGACACTCGCATACGGTGGGAAGAATGTTACAAATCTTTGTGTGAGCATTGGAAAGAAAGGGAGCCAAAAGTATTGTGGCTCCTGTGTGGCTAGTGGCTCATCAGTAATTTGAGTTTGAATTTAGTATGGGGAAACAAGGTATTTGAGAGGGCCGTGACTAGATGCTGGGCCTATGGAAGCCACGAAACACCATAAGCCCACTATTTAGAATTTATGTGATCCAGCAAAGTCATAGCAAGTTACTCCCCCCACCCACACACCCATACACACTTTTTTTTTTAGTAAGTCACTAGGGTCAGCAGGAGTCCTCGGGCTTTGGAGTTAACAGTTAGAAACCACAGGCTGCTCTGAGGGAGAAAGGCAGAGACTTTCCACTCCTGTAAAGAGTTAACAGCTGTTGCCAGTGAGCCCCTGTCCTGGGGGTACGCAGAGCTCTGGGCATGGAGGTGTGTTTCCAGAATGAGGTACCAGAGCTCAGGGCAGTGCAGGCTATCCATCCAGGTTCAGCCCAAGCATAGAGACAGGGACAGGGACTAGCTTTGGGTGGGATGTGGGGCAGTTGTTTGGGTCAGAGATTGAGGTGGCTAAATCCAGCACCCATCAAGCTGTACTTCTGAAAATATGCGGGACTCCACTGATTCCCCTCTGCCGTTCAGTGCCTGGGACTGTTTCTCAGGACATCTCAGCCAGGGGAAGTTATTAGGGCTATTTATCAATTAATATGTTAGAAAAGCTTCAAAGGCGGTCAGAAAGCATTGGAAAATGGTCAGTTTATGCCCTGTCTCTGTTTAAGAGAAAGTACTACTTGGGGCCCACTGCCCCCTAGTGCTGGCCCTGCAGGGCTGGGCTGGCGACACTTACAACTTTGAAATCTTGGGGGTTAGCTGCTCAAACTTCACCCTGACTGGCTCACAGGTAGCAGCACTCTGTTACGAAGAGATTCTTGACCTAGAGACATATTTTGTCAAAACACATTTTACACAGCAATTCTATACTCATTACAACGAACCTTTTAAAAAAAATCATTTTATTGGGGGCTCGTACAACTTTTATCACCATTCATCCATCCATCCATCCATCCATCCATCCATCCATCCATCCATCCATTGTGTCAGGCACATTTGTACATTTGTTACCCTCATCATTCTCAAAACATTTGCTTTCTACTTGAGCCCTTGGTATCTGCTCCTTTTTCCCCTCCCCCTCCCTGCCCGCCCTCCATGAACCCTTGATAATTTATAAATTATTATTATTTTGTTATGTTTCACACTGTCTGACAGTACAATTAACCTTTTATCAATAAGGCACTATTGTTTAGAAAAGAAAATAAATAAGAGTTAACACTCTCTGAACCCCCAGGGTAACTTTTACCCTGCCCTATAAGGGCTTCTATGAGTCGGCAGGGACTCAATGGCTGCGAGGTTTTGGGGTATAAAGGGCCAGTAGGGGTTGGAATCCCAGCATCGGTGCATTTGTCCCCTCTGCCTTCACAGAAGCACTGTTAACTCCCTTGTGCAGAGACAAGCTCCTGGATCTTTGGGGAAGGTGCCGTTTAATAAATGCTTTTTAAAGCGGGCAGCCCTTGTCATGGACCTTGTCGCTTCTTTGCTCCTTGAGTTTATCTGTAAACTTAGATTGTATGAAACGAGGTTATCTAGAAGGAGTACCCCTAAAACCTGGTGACCTTCCAGGATGTGTGTGAATGCTCGGTGCCTGCAGTGGTCAAGTCGCCCCAGTCGGCTGTGTGGAAATTACGCTGCCCTTTGTGGAGAAATCCCGGGGGTGTCACACTTGGAGTTGAGTTGCTGCTATGAGCTCACCCTAAGGACACCAGTTCACACCCGAGAAAGACGAGGCGTTCTACTCCCATAACGAGTTACAGCCTCAGAACCCACAGGGGCAGTTCCACGCTGCCCTTCAGAGTCACCCATGAGTCAGAATGTACTCCATAGCAGTGAGTCGGTCTTTGTTTGTTTTGTTTTGGAAGGTGGAAGTGCATGTGTTTGCTTCATGCTCCTTGTAAGGGAAAGTGCAGACTGCATAGTGGTCTCATTTCTGTTTCCTCTCCTTCCTTCTCTGAGCTCGGGATGTGTCACTGTGATATCTCAGAAACAGTGCATTCTTCGGAGCTGGACCGTTGGAAGAGAGCCTTCTCCTCTCTCCTGGTGCCATGCCACTCCCCACCCCCGCCAGCTCTCTTCTTAGCCCCACAGTTGGCGGTTGGTTAGACTTTGAGGTCGTAATCGTGGTTGCTTAGTTGGGAGAAGGCCAAGCCTCTGTTAATTGTTTGTTTCCCGGAGCTTGACCTGTATAAAGTTAGGGTTTGTTTTGCTTTGTTGATAAAGTCTCTTTGGAAATGACGGCATAGAGGTTACACAAACTCTGGGTGAAGTGTGCCTCAGCCTTTCTTTCTTTTCCCTGGAATGAAAAGCCAGACTCGTACTTCCTCCCAGCATGGTTCTCCTTGGAGGCCGCCTTTGGCACTTCTACAGATTTTAATACCCCTGCTTCTTTTGCCTGTTGCTTTTGCAGGACCGGTGGATGGTACTTTGGGCTGGAGATTTGGTGCCGGGTCCCAGGAGCCAGTTTTGCTGAATTGTTGCCACAGACTGCCGAGCTGTGAGTCTCCTTGAAGGTGTGTGGTCACGCCCAGGTGCCAGCACAGTTGGGGTCTCTGCTGGAAGCCGTCAAGGACTTTTGCCACAGGTGTGAAGACTCTCAAACTGCAGAGATGCTGAAACAGATATTATCAGACATGTACATAGATCCCGATCTACTGGCAGAGCTCAGCGAAGAACAGAAACAGATCCTGTTCTTCAAGATGAGGGAGGAACAGATCCGCCGATGGAAAGAAAGAGAAGCAGCGATGGAAAAGAAGGAGTCCTTGCCAGCGAAATCCAGGCCAAAGAAAGGTAAGCTTAGCCCTGCAGCTGCTGTGAATGGGCT